GTTGTACATTATTATATGTATGTTATATGTAGCGTGGTATTTTTCAATTATTTTATGTACCAACATCAAGAAGTCACAAGCAAAGAAAGTCCACACCATGGCGCATGTTTAAACAAGCAGAGTTTACTGGTCAAAATTATTTATTAAACAAATAAAACACAGCAAGAAGGTCCTGAGTTCAATTCCACCATCAGGTCTTTCTGTGTGGAGTTTGCATGTTCTCCCCGTGTTTGCGTGGGTTCCCTCCGGGTACTCCGGCTTCCTCCCACCGTCCAAAGACATGCAGCTTGTGGGGATAGGTTAATTGGATAATCCAAATTGTCACTAGGAGTGAATGTGAGTGTGAATGGTTGTCTGTCCCTGTGTGTTGGCCCTGCGACAGACTGGCGACCTGTCCAGGGTGTACCCCGCCTCTCGCCCTATGACAGCTGGGATAGGCTCCAGCGCCCCCCGCGACCCTGAAAAGGATAAGCGGAAGCGAATGGATGGATGGATGAAACACAATTTTTTAACCACCAAAAAATACACGTTCCAAGCAACACAACAGCGGCCCGATATCAGACAGAACTCCACTCTGTAGAGTGAGCAATCTTAATGAAGCAGTTGGTTTTATTTTGTGGATTCGAGCTGCTCTTCATATTTCTGGCCTCCAGATGTCACCAGAGAGGAGTGTGTTTAAAAGCTTCGAGTAATGAACCGTTTTTCAATACAAGCTTCAGAAAGCTTCTTCTGCCCATCACTAGTGTTATGTGACGGCTGTGTGCAGGGAGGAGTAGTAGTAGGAGGACCCAATGTGCAGACACTCGGAGACGCAAAGTGAACTCAAAAGGGTAACAAAACTGAGAATACAAAATAAGCTTACGCAGACAGAACACACAGCAAGATGAGGGTAGATCACAACACCGACAAACTGAAACACAGGGCTTAAATACACAGAGGGAGCAATCAGGGAGGGAAACAGCTGGGGCAAATCAGGCCTAACGAGACAAAGGAAGCAAAACCAGACGCATTTACATGAGACACGGACTTTCAAAGTAAAACAGGAAACATAACACAGACTGAACTTACAGACAGACTCACAAGCAGGCACTGCAACAGAGGGAACAGAGACGTGAGACCAGGGCAGACACGGAGATATAGCCGACAGGGGAGACAGCAACTAAGGATTACACAGAGACATAAACCATAAGACAGAACTCTAACAAAGAAACCAAAGACTGGAAGTGATAAATAATATAATAAACTCAAAAACCCGGGGTCAACGACCCAGGCATCCAAACAGTTTGTGGTCATTTGGAGATCAAGCTGAATTTACTGTATACTTCATATTCACCTTCCTATGTTGTGATTGGAGGATTCATTTTTGCTTTGACCTTTTAACAGATGTTCATTTGCCCCAAGACTTTTTGCTTGTCAGGTTATTTTTCTACAATAATTATAAGGAATGTGTCATGGTCCCTGTGCCTGCCCAGCCGGCCTCACAAGGCTACACTTGTGTTTTTGCTTTTTCTCTCTCTCCCCTACCTCTCTGCCTGGGCGGAGCTCACAGCTGGCTCCCACCCTTGGCTAACACACAGCTGTTGGCGATCAGCTGATGGCGATCAGCTGATTACCGATCTACTATTTGAGGCTGGGTCACAGATCCTCTCATCGCTGGATGATTGAGCTACTGACGTTAGTCTTTCTTTTGGTCTTATACCTTTACGCCCTACCTTCGTGATTTGTGAGTGATTTCTCCCTTCCCTATTCCAGTTCATCTTCCCGGACCTGTGACCTCCCGCGGTACGGACGTGTGTGAGTCGGATGTAAGGACGTGAGCGAGCGTGAGAGAGAGAGAGAGAGAGCTAATCCCCTGGAATCCTGCACTTTCCCCCGTCACTGTATATAGTATTGCACTGGTGTGTAAATAAATCGTGTTCTGATACGTCAACCTGCTCTGCGCTTGAGTCCCTGCTTTCAGTTTGTGACAGAATGACCAAATTCAATTACATTAGCCCTTTAATCATATTTGGGTTATGTGTCACCCTTTTTAACTGAGTAGTCCAAAATCAGTCGAATCCACAGTAATCTGTCATACAAAGTCAATATTTGAGAATCTACTCGTTGGGTTCAGAAGGATCGTAAGGAGACTGGCAGTGGTAACTCACCTTAAAGAAGGAATATCCCTCCACTCAGAATGAGACACTGACAACAACTTAAAGGGAGAAAAGTGATTTGAGTGTATTCAACCTTTAAATGATCCAAAACATGGACATGAACAAAACAGTTAAATCGTTTCAAACATGTAAATCTCAACAATGTACAACATATCACTTAAAGTGTCCATAAATGTATCAGGTAGGCTGTCCATTTCAGTTCAGTGCACTTAGTATTCAGGGTTCTTAGTAAGTGTTCAAGTTATTTGGATTGTCTCTGGTCACAGTTTTGCTTTAGATGCATCAGTTTTTTATGTTAAGTGGAATCAGATCTGACCCAAAAAGGAAAAAAGTAACAACATAAAGCGTCTTGAGATCTCAGAAAAAACGTTAATCCAAAAAAATTGCAAATTGTTGCATCCTACCACCCTCCAAGGGAACAGGTGGCCTTCAGATTGAGAACGTCCTTTCTAGGCACCTCCAGTGGCATCCAGTCCTTAGATGGCACCGCTCGGTCCTTGCAGCAGATTTCTACCACATAACAAAAACAATGCCCCCCTGCACAGCTGCAGACGGGTTTGCCCTCCTCCACGGTTATTCTGCTGGCAGCTGTTTGGATACGGGGCAAATATAAACAATGAAGACAAAGTAAGTGGAGCTCATGAAGTGATCTCATACACCATGCTCCTCCATAAAACTGAAAAGAAGAACAAAATGAGCTGAGACCACTCGATTTAACTGTGCCCATAACGACTCAGGTCTTTGATTATGCACTGACCTGCCAGTGATAACACTCTGCCTGTTCAGTCCATGAAACGGCCACACCAGTGTTTCCTACTCCACGATCACATCTCTCTGGATGGTGTTCCAAAGTTCTGAACACCAACCGTGAACAGTGACGACCCTGTACAGCTGGAACTGATCCACGTCAGCTGTTTTAGACACGATGCGCTCCCAGGTTTATCAGCCACAGAGGGAGCACAGCAGGATGCTGGCACTCCTTCACAGAAGCTCAGAGTGAGCGCACACGTGCACGCGACTGTGCACAAACACAGCAGACTCTGGAGACCTGTCAGGTGCTTCATCATCATCATCAGTCTGAGCTCACCTGAGAGCCACAGCTGAAGGTATTCATCTCAAACACCTAGAGCACTAAACTCCACCAGCTTTAAACGTGATGGAGTTTAAAAGTTTGTCTTCGAAACAGGAACAACATTGGAAACCATCCCGACTTTCATCCCGGGACATGTTTGTTATAATTTCTGGGAAAGCCGCTGATCTGCAGCATCCGGTCCCGAACCAGCAGACTGAGAGACAGCTTCTTCCATCAGGCCATCAGACTCCTGAACACGTCATAGACACCTCAGCTTCACTACTGGAACTTTAACATTATGCACTCCATACTGTACAGTAATGCCACTGTTTTGCACATATTCAACGCTGTATAT